GCGCCACCCGCGTCCCGTCTCCCAAGATAGATGCCAACAATTATGGAATAAGCTTCCATGTGGCATTAGGCATTTGACCACTAGTTCAAATTGGGGGGGGGGGGCTTGGTTCTGCTTGCAGGCTTCCCATGGGAATCTGGCTGGTCACTATGAGAATGAAGTCCTGGACTAACTGGGCCTTTGGCCTGATCCATCAAGGGGCTTCTTCTGGTCTCATGACTGAAGTCTACTTCATCAGATGCACCAGGAATATATGCACATGATAGTGGGTTGGAACTGTAAGCAAATAAAATGAAATGAAATGCGGAAAAGTCCAGTAATAACTGCACAATTAACTGTGGTCATTCACAAAACATTCACAACTGCTTTGTTTTATTGACCACAGTTAATTATATAAGTCCCCTTCATGGATCACTGCATTGCCATGGCGAAGGGGCTTGAATAACTCAGAATAACTTGAATAACTCACCTCCTGGCAAATAGAAGGGGAAGAAATGGAGGCAGTGAGAGATTTTACTTTCTTGGGCTCCATGATCACTGCAGATGGTGACAGCAGTCACGAAATTAAAAGAAGCCTGCTTCTTGGGAGAAAAGCAATGACAAACCTAGACAGCATCTTAAAAAGCAGAGACATCACCTTGCCAACAAAGGTTGGAATAGTTAAAGCCATGGTTTTCCCAGTAGTGATGTATGGAAGTGAGAGCTGGACCATAAAGAAGGCTGATCGCCGAAGAATTGATGCTTTTGAATTATGGTGCTGGAGGAGACTCTTGAGAGTCCCAGGGTCTGCAAGAAGATCAAACCTATCCATTTTTAAGGAAATCAGCCCTGAGTGCTCACTGGAAGGACAGATCCTGAAGCTGAGGCTCCAATACTTTGACCACCTCATGAAAAGAGCAGGCTCCCTGGAAAAGACCCTGATGTTGGGAAAGATGGAGGGCACAAGGAGAAGGGGACGACAGAGGACAAGATGGTTGGACAGTGTTCTCGAAGCTACGAACATGAGTTTGACCAAACTGCGGGAGGCAGTGGAAGACAGGAGTGCCTGGCGTGCTCTGGTCCATAGGCTCACGAAGAGTCGGACATGACTAAACGACTAAACAACAACAACAATTATATAAGCCACCGTCTGTACTTTTCTTCATTCCATTTCACTTTGACCTCACTACTTGCAATTCCCCCAGCCCTCCAAAAAATACTGTTTGCATCTAACTCTAAAAAGGTAAAAGGTAAAGGTACCCCTGCCCATACGGGCCAGTCTTGACAGATTCTAGGGTTGTGCGCTCATCTCACTCTATAGGCCGGGAGCCAGCGCTGTCCGCAGACACTTCCGGGTCACGTGGCCAGCGTGACAAGCTGCATCTGGCGAGCCAGCACAGCACACGGAACACCGTTTTACCTTCCCGCTGGTAAGCGGTCCCTATTTATCTACTTGCACCCGGGGGTGCTTTCGAACTGCTAGGTTGGCAGGCGCTGGGACCGAACGACGGGAGCGCACCCCGCTGCGGGGATTCGAACTGCCGACCATGCGATCGGCAAGTCCTAGGCGCTGAGGTTTTACCCACAGCGCCACCCGCGTCCCTCTATCTAACTCTAGCTCAGCATAATGCACGTATTCAATGGACTGAAGTCCATGTGCTACAAGAGGTGCATTTAACACCTGCATCTGTGTCCAGAACCCATGTTGTCTTATGGGCACACTTAATATTAAGCCAAGAGACTTTGGGGATCTTTTGCTATTTACAACATATGTTTGTTGTTAAGGTGTTTAACCTTAACCTTATACCCACAAGAAGTTCTCACGCCAGAGGAAGGAGAATTGGTTTATTACACAAAATGAAAACAACAGAATAAATGGGTGCTGCTTTGGACAGCAAAGTTACAAAATAAGAAGGCAGCAAATCTCACAACACAAACACACAAACACAAATTTTACACCTAAAGTGTAAAATAATCCCTGTTCCCAAAAATTTAGAGGAAGTGAGTTAAAAGTAAAGTTAGAAAGGGAAGGGGAAGGGCATACCTATCTTGATGCAAAGTATGTGCTCGTTTCTTGAAGACACTGCGTAAAGTGGAGCTCCTTGATCAACAAACCACTGAAAAATCTAATGTTCTGTACTAATTTTAGCCAATGCATCCTAATAGAAAGGGGAAGGGGTCTTTGAGATGAGTAATTTCTTAGAATACCTATATTTCTTTGTTCCTATCACCCATTTGCTATTAAGTTCCTGCCCGATTCCTATTTCATGGACTCTGATAAATTGGTAGTTGAAAGAGTATAATTCTAGTAAGCCATGATTTAAAATGGTTATAATCTATGGAATCCATTATTTTACAGGAAGCATTGCTTAAATTTTGCTGGTAACTAGTGCATTACTTGTGCTGACCTTTACATAAAAAAAAAAATTCCTTCCAGTAGCACCTTAAAGACCAACTAAGTTAGTTCTTGGTATGAGCTTTCGTGTGCATGCACACTTCTTCAGATACACTGAAACAGAAGTTGCCAGATCCTTCTATATAGTGAGAAGGTGGGGAGGGGTATTACTCAGAAGGGTGGTGGGAATGGGTGATTGGCAGTTAGCTGTGATGAGCCTGTTGACGACTCTTAACGACTGCAATAGGTCTTACAGGAAAAAGCAAGGGGTGAGAAGGTGAAAAATGGCTTTGTCATGTATAATGAGATAAGAATCCAATGTCTTTGTTCAGACCAGGTCTCTCCATGGTTTTAAGTTTGGTAATGAGTTGCAATTCAGCAGCTTCTCTTTCCAGTCTATTTCTGAAATTCCTTTGTAGTAAAACAGCTACTTTGAGATCTTGTATAGAATGTCCTGGGAGATTGAAGTGTTCTCCTACTGGTTTCTCTGTCTTGTGATTCTTGATGTCAGATTTATGTCCGTTTATTCTTTGGCGTAAGGTTTGGCCTGTTTGTCCAATATAGAGAGCTGAAGGACACTGTTGGCATTTGATGGCATACACAATGTTAGACGATGGGCAATTAAATAGTCCCGAGATGGTATGTGTGATGTTGTTGGGGCCAGTAATGGTGTTGTCCGGGTGTATGTGGCAGCAAAGTTGGCATCTGGGTTTATTGCAGGCTCTGGTGCCAGTGTCCGTGTTAAGTCTGGTTGTAGTATTATTGTGGGTTAGGAGTTGTTTAAGATTGGGTGGCTGTCTGTAGGCAATGAAAGGTCTTCCTCCCAGAGCTTGAATTGCAACTCATTACCAAACTTATCCCACCACCCTTCTGAGTAATACCCCTCCCCACCTTCTCACTATATAGAAGGATCTGGCAACTTCTGTTTCAGTGTATCTGAAGAAGTGTGCATGCACACGAAAGCTCATACCAAGAACTAACTTAGTTGGTCTTTAAGGTGCTACTGGAAGGAATTTTTTTTTGTTTTGACTATGGCAGACCAACACGGCTACCTATCTGTAACTTTACATAAAAGTCTTAGGAGCTCAGGAAGTCTCCTTGTGAGTGCCTTCCAGGACATGTTTGCACTAAGAACTAGACCAAGCTCAGGAAAGATCATTTAGGGGTATATTTCATATTGAATGATACCAACTGTACTAATGCCATGACCTGCAGTAATAAACCATGTCAAAAGTTCAGATTGGCACTCCTGTTTATACCTAGAAGTGTATAACATAATAAAATGATTTTAAGGTATCAAACGCTCTTTGTTTTTGTTGCAATAGACCAACACAGCTACCTCTCTGGAGGTCATGGGGGTGGGGGAGGCATTTTGAAATAACGAAATCTCACTCTAGACTCTTGCTAGATATGAACAATGCAATCCTATATGTGTTTATGTAGAATGCCTACTTTGTCCAAAGGGCTTACAGCCAGGAAAGTGTGCACAGGATTGCTGCCAAAGTGTATCTGTTGTAATGCATTATTTGTAAACTGCCCTTCAGGAGGCAAGATGGCAAACACCTCAATAATAAACATATTTTAAAGCATTATTAAGGACAGCATTTTCTCAACCTGTCATTTCATAGTTAACAGACACATTACAAATGGCTTGCAGTTTCAGTTCAGCTGCAACACCATTTGGTTTCTCCTCCAGAACGCTTTGTATTACTGTACTTCATACCTATGACAAAGTAGGGGAGACTGCCCTATAACAAAGGAAGATTAAGCAGCATAAGTCTTAGGGTCTCCAAGATCCATTTGTATGTTTGTCACTTTCTGCAAGGTAAACCCAGAAAGCTCTTGATCCCAAAGTGTCCCTTTAAACTTTGGATCATCTCTTGCTTCAGAGCCATTGCACCGGAGCCCAATCCCATCGAGGATTTTTCAGGTCTTTCCCCTGAATTTTCAGCTTTCATTTTAAAAAAGAAAAAAATATTCCTGCATCCATAGAACATAGAAACCAGAAAGTTGAGCCTTTTCTCTCCAAGCCTAGCCAGAAGCTGGGTTTACCTGGGCTTGCAGATGGTCGAGGCCCTGTATGTTCTGTTTATGTATTGCCTGGGAGGGGAAGGGCTGCTCTGTTTCAGCAAACCAGAAGGTTGAAGCATATATTTTAAGGTGACGATTATGACTTGTCGATGATGCCAGTGGTGACATCATCTTCTTGACCCTGTAGTTTTGAGGACCAGGTTATGAAGAGAAGAAGGAGACAACTTGCTGAAACTAGAGACCAGAGATGGTACTTTTAAAAATAATGACACTTCTTTTGTATTGATGAACATTCCCCATACCCAAATGGAATGGAGTGGGAGCTAATCAACTTGGTCTTTCCTTCTGACAGTCCGTAATAAGTCTTTACACCGGGGTAAGCAACCTAAGGCCCAATCGCCTTCTCAATCCGGCCTACGGATTGAGTGTTTTTACATCAGCATGTTTTTACATGAGTAAAATGTGTCCTTTTATTTAAAACACATATCTGGGTTATTTGTGGGGCCTGCCTGGTGTTTTTACATGAGTAGGATGTGTGCTTTTATTTAAAATGCATCTCTGGGTGATTTGTGGGGCATAGGAATTTGTTTTTTTCTTTAAAATATAGTCTGCCCCCCCCCCGCATGGTCTGAGGGACCAGCACACAGGTGGAAAAGGTTGCTGACCCCTGCTTTACACTGTCAAGTTATCTCACACCTAAAATAAATAAGCTGTCTCCTGCCTTCAGAATCCTCACAAAGGCATCCTTGGTTTTTTGTGGTATGCAATTAATCTGAAGTCAATTAACTTAAGCAGTCCTCAAAGTGGCTGCTTGCTTGCCTCTGTTCCATCTCATCCCTAGTTTGACGGAGGCAGAGTAAAGGACCCCAACATACTGGGCATGAGTCTGAGGTTTCTCTAATGTCCCTCAGGGGAGCTTCAGGGCCATGAAAACAAGGATATATCTATTGACCCTCAGCTGACCCAATCAAGCTCAGGACATGTGTGTTTTCGACCCACTCAGCCAATCACAATGCACCAACAGCGAAGGGAGAGCGTTAGCACACTGCACACACAAAAAAGACAATGCACATACTTAGAAGGAGGAGGAGGAGGAAAGGAGGCCTGAAATGTTCTGGTGCCTCCAAAAGGGGGCCTGCCACAGCTTCAAAGCTGTACTAATTAACTGTCAATTTGCTGCCCTTTAACGATCACCTGCCACCTAAGATTTGGGCTGGCCTGACCTTCTGTGCCTGTGCATGTGCTTCTTGAGATACGAAGACCGTGTGAAGAAGCTTCCGCAAATGAGGCATTCATGCTCCAAGCTCGCTGTGTGCACCTCCTGGTGCCTGGTCAGATACGAACGCTGGGCAAAGACCTTACTGCAGGTGGAACATTTATATGGCTTCCCCGCCCGGTGGGTGAGCAGGTGTTTTGACAGGTATGAAGTCAAGCTGAACCGCTTTGGGCACTTGGGACAAGCATAAGGCTTGTCCCCTTCCACTAGTGAGGAAGCTCCCTCCATCAACAGGCTTGGAGTACTCAGGAATCGGGGCACCTCAGGGTGTTGACTGGCCACAGCTTGTGGTTGCCCAGTAGAACTGGTGATGCTTTCAGTCGAAGCCTTCCTCTGTAGACCCCTTGAGGTGCTTGGGACAGTGCACTCCACAGAGACTGCCTCACGGGAACTCAAAATGGGGGTCAACTCAGTGCTGGGTTTGATGTCAACACGGAAGGGAGACAGCTCGATGGGCTGTGGGTTGTCATCGTTGTCATCAGTCCCACAGTACCCACTCTCAGAAGGCTGCTTTTGGAACAGGGGATGAGGCAAGCCCTCGACCCCAATTTCCCACACAATGTTTGGTGGAAGCACTTCAGGGTCACTGTGTGCTCTAAAATGGCATTTGCCACACTCACAGGCTTTCTGACAGGCTAAAGGTTTGCAAGGTTCCCCAGAACACAGGGGGGAAAGGCGTTGCAGATACTCTCCAGAGATGTTCTCCACAGAGACATCTTCCTCACAATTACTCTGGCCTTCCTCCTTATTGTGTTCCTGATGTGATTCATTGTTCTTTATCGGTTGCAAGTGGGAAATGTCACAGCCATAAAGTTGCTCTCCAGGATGAACAATCAAATGTTGAATGAGGTCAGAAAGCCACGGAAAGCCTTGCCCACACTGGTCACAAAGAAAGGGCTTATGGATACTGATGCTCTGTTCTGTTGTCTGGCTGTTGTGCCCAGGTGCTTCAATCTGTTGTTCCCCCCTAGGGTGACTGAGTTTATGTTGGGCAAGACTGTCAAAGCCTTCCCCAGTGTGATCACAAATGTCAAGCTCCTTGGAGGCTGTGCTCTGCTCTGTTAATGCCTTTCCAGAGTGAGTGTTCGCATGTCGAGTAAGGTCTGAAGGCCACCGGAAATTCTTCCCACATAGACAACTGGTGTAGGATGCCTTGGAGGGGCTGTTCTGGCCAGTCTTTACCTTTTCTCCACAGCAAGAGTGTTTATGATGAGCAAGTTTAGTAATTGACTGGACGTTCTTCCCACACTTCTCACAAACGTAGGACTTTTGGGACTGGGTGCTCTTGCCTGTCCTTAATGTTCTCCTGTGGCAAGCAAGTTCATGTCTAGCAAGGTCTGAAGGCCACCGGAAGTTCTTCCCACATAGACCACAGATGTGGGATGCCTTGGAGGGGCTGTTCTGGCCAGTCTTTACCTTTCCGTGACAGCAAGAGTATTTATGATGAGCAAGTTTAGTAACTGAGTGGAAGTTTTTCCCACACTTCTCACAAGCGTAGGACTTCTGGGACTGGGTGCTCATGCTTGCCCGTAACATTCTCCTGTGGCAAACGAGCTCATGTCTAGCAAGGTCGGAAGGCCACCGGAATTTCCTCCCACATAGACCACAGATGTGGGATGCCTTGGAGGGGCTGTTCTGGCCAGTCTTTACCTTTTCTCCACAGCAAGAGCGTTTATGATGAGCAAGGACAGTAGATGACTGGAAGTTTTTCCCACACTTCTCACAGGCGTAGGACTTCTGGGACTGGGTGCTCTTGCTTGCCTGTAACATTATCCTATGGCAAACGAGCTCATGTCTAGCAAGGTCTGAAGGCCACCGGAAGCTCCTCCCACATAGACGACAGATGTGGGATGCCTTGGAGGGGCTGTTCTGGCCAGTCTTTACCTTTTCCCCACAGCAAGAGCATTTATGATGGGCAAGGACAGTAGATGACTGGAAGTTTTTCCCACACTTCTCACAGGCATAGGACTTCTTGCTTGTCCTTAATGTTCTCCTATGGCAAGGGAGTTTATGTCTAGCAAGGTCTGAACGCCACCGGAAGTTCTTCCCACATAGACCACAGATGTAGGATGCCTTGGAGGGAGTGTTCTGGTCAGTCTTTATCTTCCCTCCACTGTGAGAGCATTTATGATGAGCAAGGTTAGTAGATGACTGGATGTTTTCCCCACATGTCTCACAGACGTAGGACTTCTGGAATTGGATGCTCTTGTCTGTCCTTAATCTCCTACGGCAAGCGAGTTCATGTCTAGCAAGGTCAGAAGGCCACCGGAAGCTCTTCCCGCAATTCTCACAGCTGAAGGACTTCTTGGACTGGGAGTGTTGATTCATCACCAACTGGGAACTGTTAGCTGCTGTATTCCTAAAATGCAGGTGTCGGGCAAGGTCAGAGGGCCATCAGAACTCCTTCCCACAAGGCCTTGGAATAGTCCTTCTGATTAGTGATTGGCTTTGAGTTTCACAAAAATTTGAATCTGCATACAGAGGAATCAGGACTAACAGATTTGGACCGCTTGCTTCTAATTGGCTTTACCCCTGTAATAATTAATAATAATAATAATAATAATAATAATAATAATAATAATAATAATTTCATTATTTGTACCCCATCCATCTGACTGGGTTGCCCCAGCCACTCCGGGCGGCTTCCAACAAATATAAAAGCATAAAACATTAAACATTAAACCCTGTATAAACTTCCTTATACAGGGCTGCCTTCAAATGTCTTCTAAAAGTTGTACAGTTCTTTATCTCCTTGACATCTGATGGGAGGCGTTCCACAGGGCAGGCACCACTACCAAGAAGGCTCTCTGCCTCGTTCCCTGTAACCTCACTTCTCACAGTGAGGGAACAGTCAGAAGGCCCTCGGAACTAGACATCAGTGTCAGGGCTGAACGATGGGTGTGGAGACGCTCCTTCAGGTATACACTTTAAAGGTCAGCGCCAACACTTTGAATTCTGCTTGGAAACGTATTGGAAGCCAATATAGGTCTTTCAGGACTGGTGTTTTATGGTCCCAGTGGCTGCTGCCAATCACCAGTCTGGCAGCCACATTCTGAATTAATTGTAGTTGCATAAATATTTTTTATTTGATTTTACAAATGTACAATTATAACAATTATACAAATATCAAATACATTTAGAGATTCCTCTGAATCTCATGACTTCCCTCCATCCCTTCCATGGGTCCTATTGTCAACATTTTCAACTGCATATTATTTCATCATCCATATTTTAAGTCTCTCTCTATTGTCCAAAGTATTTGTTATGTTACAAGTGTTATTAAAGTCCTGCTAATGTTTTCATTTGTTTACAGTGGTCTCTTAAAAACATTATAAATCTTTCCCATTCTTTGGATTAGTTATAGTTTCAAAGTCACCTTCAAAGGTAGCCCTATGTAGAGCACATTGCAGTAGTCCAAGCAGGAGATAACCAGTGCATGTACCACTCCAATGAGACAGTGTGCAGGCAGGAAGGGTCTCAGCCAGCATACCAAATGGAGCTGGTAGACAACCACCCTGGACAAACTCACCTTTTGTTGGTTCAACCTCTTTTTCTCACTGTAGACAGGCCACTGGGGGCAGATTATGCTCCTGGTCCTCGAAAGCCTTGGAGTTCAGGTCTGTTGAAGAGATTTCAGGGCACATTAGAAGGGGGTAATTTAAAGTTGGCATGCTGGTCTACTGATCAGCCACCAGGTATTGCCAACTGAAAGTCTACTATTTGACTATTATGAAGAGAAGAATATCTTTGTACTTGGCAGCCTACCTTTAATTTTTTTTTATTTTGGTGTCATTAGTTAGCAAGATCAGAAGGGAAGTCTACTCCCTTTGTCATATCATTATGTTTTTATATGTGCTGGAAATCGAGTCAGATGGACAGGGAACAACAACAACAACATGTCCCACTCAGTAGTCAGGGGGCAAATTTAGCACGTTAGCTTTAAAAAGTACACCCTACCTGAAGGAGTGTCTCCACACCTATCATTCAGACTGGACACTTAGGGGTCCAGCTCCAAGGACCTTCTGGCAGTTCCCTTACTGTGAGAAGTGAGGTTACAGGGAACCAGGTAAAGGGCCTTCTCAGTATTAGCACCCTCCCTGTGGAATGCCCTCCCATCAGATGTATAGGAGATAAATAACTATACAACTTTTAAAAGACATCTCAAGGCAGCCCTGTATCGGGACGTTTTTAGTGTTTGAGGTTATATGTGTGTGTGTGTGTGTGTGTGTGTGTGTGTGTGTGTGTGTGATGCCTAAAGTGGCTGGGGTAACCCTGTCAGATGCAAGGGGCAAAAAATTATTATTATTATCCTACTGGTAAACTGCCATAAGTACAGGCATTTCCAAACAAGAGGGAAAGCAGTCAGCAATGGCAAACATCACTGGTGACCCCTGTAGGTCACTGTAGGAACCACAAAATTACTTTTTTAACAAACACTTTCTTTTTAAATTATTTTAAAGAATTCTTTAAAATTCTGTAGCTACTGTGCTTAGTTTTTTATTCGTCAGTTAGTTGAAGCTCTTCCATTTTCAAAAGAAAACACAGCTCTTCAGGATTAGCATGGGCATTCCATGAGAAAAATAAAAAGAGCTGTTTAGTGAATCATTGGCACTTACATAAACCTTACCAAAGATTGTTAAAAATTAAGAACTTTAGGAAAGTATTATATAAGTTAATTTCCTTGCCCCGCAATAAAATTACATTTTGTTTAATAAATAAATATAAAATAAATAATAAAATAAATAATAAAATAAATAATAAAATAAAATAAATAAAATATATTTTGTTGTTGACCAAGTTAATAAGGTAGTTGATAATAACCTTTAATGGGGTTCTAACAATGTCACTGCTTTAACAATTCTTGGCCAATACAGTGGTACCTCGGGTTACAAATGCTTCAGTTTACAAACGCTTTGGGTTACGAACTCCGCTAACCCAGAAGTACAGTAGTTGCTCTGGGTTGCTAATTTTGCCCCAGGATGAGAACAGAAAATGCATGCTGGCAGCATGAGGCCCCATTAGTGAAAGCACGCCTCAGGTTAAGAACAGTTTCAGGTTAAGAACGGACCTCCAGAACGAATTCAGTTCATAACCCGAGATACCACTGTATGTCAGCCATTTTACCGCCCCCAAAAAATTCCAATAAAATACCCAACCCAAACACAACCGGATCCTCCTGAAAAGGTTGCAGTAATAAATATTTTAAATGTTTAATTGCTTACATTGTTATTCTGCTAACCTGGAAGCAAATATCACTATCTATTCTGCTGTTTTAATATGGTTTCTACCTTTGCATTTTACGATAGTAATTCAATGTAATACTCCAAGCCCTGTAAGTCATGTTCAGGGTTTTTTAAACGGAAAAGTAGAATAAAAATTATTATACAGTAATGGAAGTAAAATGATAGCACAAACCTTGTGCAAGGATCTGCATGGGAGGTTAAGTTCTGTGGCTGAAGGACCTTAAAAGTTAGGTTTGTCAGCCTGTAATAAGCCTGTACCATATTGATGGTGGGGTCCCCTCTGTTAGTCCCAGCTTTACTAGCCCAATAAAGTTCTGGGGGGCAGGAGGCACCCCTTACTGATGATGCATCTTAATTAAGCCCCACAGTTCCTCCACAAAGAAGTGTTGTAAAGAAAAATTGCCCTTTTCCCTTATGGGGTATCCAAGAGCCCATATAGAGTCCTTACGTAGGTTCCCTATTGGTAGGAGAAAATAACAGAGGCCAACCAGAGAATATTGAGAAGCAAAGCAGCTAGTAAGCTTGATCTTTATTGATCTGTTGCAACAGGGTGCTCCCCTTACACACAGGAAAAGAGGAGGAACCCAGAACAATGGCGCACAAGGCCTTATAAAGACTTCTGAGATTGCCACCCTGTAGATCAAGACCACCCCAGAAACATCATACATACATCACAGAAGGGGTGTAACCTAAGACCACCCCCCAGATACATCATACCTACATCACAGAAAAGGCGGTCTAAAACAGAAATTTGAATGTTGTTTTTCCTGTTTGCCAGGTTATCTGATTTCCTTTCCTGATTGTCACCCATTTTCTGCTTGCCTTTCCTGATAGACTGTCACCCATTAAAATGCTGATTACTCAATTCTTGAGACAATGGGAAGGCTCCCTGACCCCCCCTCCCTCCTTGCAGGGAAAACTTTTGGTCAGTTTGGGAATCAAAATGGTTTCAGGTCGGTCTTCCTGTGCTGATCTATGTACATGCTTGGTTGGTACACTTATGAACATTACCATATATCTAAGACCTTAAAATTCCTATCACAGATGCTAGGCCAAATCAGCCTGGAACTGGCATAGCAAAAGAAGAAGAAAAATGTTCCCCCACCATCTGCCTTAGCCAGTGCAATATGGCAAGGCTTTGACTGCTAATCCTACATAGGTCTACCCGGAATTATTAAATTCAGTCTTACTCCCATGTATGTGTAAGATTGCCACCTGAATTTGAACGTACTCTCAAAACATCAATATAAATACGAACAGGTAAAGATCGTTTATTAGATCAAAGCTACCACTTGTTTCAATAAAAGGTTGAGAAAGAGGTGAGTGGCCTGTTGATACCATTGTTCAGAGGGTGTAAAAATATAACTACAACGAACCCTCTTTAAAAGGCCCAGCATTTTTGCAAGTTACATCTTGGCTGAGAGAAGGCCTTTCTTTGGTTGCTGGCTGTCCCCACAGTGAAAACTCTTTGTTCTCTACAACTGAAATCTTCCTGTGGAAGAACATGAGCAGGCAGGACAAAAAAACCCACCTTTTCCTTCAACAATGATTCTTTGTGTGATCGCCACAATGAATATTTCATCCATCACAAAAAGCCCATGAGCCTAATTACACCTTTTCCAAGGAAGGAAGGAAAATTTAGACACTGCCACTAAGGTGAGACGGATGGGCCTTCCAGGCAATCACACATCCCTGCTTCATGTTTATTACCCCAGAGTTTGTAATTAAACACCATCTGCCTTAGATTATAATCTCCACTTTCCCCCTAGACTGTGAAGGGAAAACCTCCTTGATGCCGCCCAAACAAAAGAACAGGAAGGCAATTGAAGGCGTGGTAATCTCCTCTGATTTATGGACCCTTAGTCCAAAATTCAGAACAACAAAAGCAGAGTAAAGCGACCGTGGCATTAAGAAAGATGCACTGCACGAAAGGAAGGTTGCCTCTGAAACAACTTCAGCTACTCTGTTATATTTTTAATCAAGGCGATGGGAGTACACAAAGTATTTAAGGCGGATTGATCTTGCATGCATGGCTCTAGAATAAAACACACGTGTATAGTGGACAGTCCCAAGAATCACGGGTGTGATCCAGTGGTCTCCTAACCCAACCTCCTGGCTGCCAGGGAGGCGCAGCTATCCCTCACGCCAACAAATGTGCCAATGAAAAAATATTAGCAGCCCTATACATTTGTGCACCACGGAAGTAAGAGCTTCAAAGAGAGAGAAAACCCTAAGCCTCGCCTCCCCTTCCCCAGTAAAAAACTACGCTACCAGTTGACGCAAATCATCAGATCCCAACCAAAAAGAGCCCCCCAGGGGGTGATCATGTCCCCGTCTCTACCTTGATCTATAATCATCATCACCATCACCATCATCCGCCCATCTGGCTGGGTTTCCCCAAGAGAATATTATAAACACTCCTCACATGTTCTGTCCAAATGGGTGCATCATGGAAGGTCCTGAATTCAACCGGAAAAGGAGAGGAAGCGGCGGACCAAGATCCTGCTTCCCAACCTCCTCCTCTCGCACGCCTTCTCTCTGCTTGAATCAAGCCCCAGGCTCCCTTCTAAATCACTTCTTTAGCCTTAGCCGAAAAGAGGCCGCTCCCGGGCCGCGCTGCAGTTTAAACGGCCTGCGGTCACGCCCCCGGCGTGACGCGCCAGGAATCCCCACGACGTAAGCAGCATCCCTCCTCCCCCAAGCCGGGTCGCTGGGGGTCCCGGATGCTGGTCCGCAACACAGACCCCCAGAGAAGGAGAGCGGATTACGGTAATTGAACACCGGGTTTCCATTGTCGTTTTTGCATTCAAGCAGTGCATGCCCGCAGTTTATTTCTTCCTTTATTATAACACTATTTCTTAGCATTTCCGTTGCACTTTTAAGGGAAGGATGTACTTTGCACTCGCCGTTTCACAGCTCCTTACAGCAACCCTGTAAGGTAGACAAACATTATTATCCCTATTTGCACGTGAGAAGTTAAGGCACAGAGGGATTATGATGACTTTCCTAAAATTACTGAGTGAGTCCAAGGCTGAGTCGATATTTTGAACTGAGAACTCCCATCTCTTAGTCCCTGCCCAGACTGTATTTAAAAGAACAGTGGTACTGTAATCACTTGAGCTCTTTGGCAGGCTTTCAATAACTTCTGCAATGTTACAAAGACTTTGGTTATTTTGGAGGACTATAGTGCAGATGAACTAGAATATGCAGTTTTTTTAGATATATAAAGGACCCACAGAGGGGGGAGGGAAGTCCTAAGATTTGGAAGAATCTTGTTTGATTTTAAAATTTAAATGTGATAAATATGTGATTTGTTTTGTAAAACCAATAAAAATTATTGGAGAGAGTCTTGGAAATGGCCTTTTCCCTTTTCTCAAAACATGGAGTCCACAGGCAGTTTCTGCATTTTGAACATGTTATTCCCAATACAGTAAAAGGTTTGGTTTTGTGTCCTCTATTTTTCTTGTTCAGTGAGGCCCACATAGCTGATTTGAGGTAGGTATGTGTATGGTCAAGGCTAAGCTGTTACGACTTAGGAGCACACCTTTCAATTATTATTCCAAGAAAATCCCCATTTTCCTCTGAATTACTCAAGGCTGTAAATAATACTGACACACCATTATTCTAAAACAAAAACAAAAAACAACAACAATCCCATACTGTGTATCTTGTATTGCCATTGGCCATCTGAGGAAGTTTTGTATTTGGCTTTTATGTGTGCTTAATGGTTTGTTTGCTTTGTATGCTGCTTAAATAATCTATTTTATGAGGCATTTACTCCATAAATCTCAAAGGAATCTTCTCTCACGCTTCATCATAGTTAGCAGGCCTCAAGGGGAGGAAAGGCCGCTGACCATTTTCATGTGCTTTGGAGGACAAGCCAGAACAGTTGCTCACTGCAGTCATGGAGGGCAAGATCTTAAAGGCAAGTTCATAGATCCGCTGGTGGCCTCCATTTGCTGTGCCAATGGAATTCAACAGAAAAGGAATAAGGATATAAAATCTTTGGACAAATTGATTCCCTCCCCCATAGACACTTGTGCTAAAAATGTAATAATTATGAAGGTGAATTGTGGACTTATAGAGATATATTAAGTTATACTGAAAATGGGTATAATCTTTTTTTTTTTTAAAGAAATTCAAGAAAGACCTGGTATCAGGTTGGTTTCAGTATCACCGTTATATGATTTTATATGACAAAAATCTTATTTCAAAATGAGGTTATAAAATGTTATGAGAATGGGATACTAAAGATTAATTAGCTAAGGCAAGAATGATACAGTGGGCTAAAGATTTAGGTCATAATATTGATAATGGCTTCTTGGGAGAAGTTATGGAAAAAGCATATGGAATTTACTGCTTGTTATACATTAAGAGAAAACTCTTATAATGATGTACAGGTGGTATTTAACACCAAATAAATTGACCAAGATGTATAAAAAAAATGACAAAATTATCATAGAGAAGTTTTTGTGATAGATACAAGATATAATGCCGTAGAAAAGGTTTGAGTAAAACTCCTAAAATGACTCTTACTATATAGAGCTCCAGCCTATATAGAAGGGAGGTTTAGGAGGAGTTTTTCAACCTTTCCAGATTGTGCTATTTAGCTAGGAGAGAAGGAACACATTGGGAGAGGATGGGAAGGAAAAACTTTGCCATCAGTCACTTCTTGATTGTATTTTCGCAGAAGGGATTCAATTGCACACTAGAAATTTAGGTTTTCAGAGTTACAATTGATTACAGTGCTCTGTAGCTCTGATGCAATAATAATAATAATAATAATAATAATAATAATAATAATAATAATACATGAGAGAGAGGCACAAAATGTGGTTAGGAGACTGTCAGTGACGTGCACTAAAAAGTGTGAGTATGGGGACAAATGACTGACAGGAAGGCATGTAAATGAGCACAAATGAGGATGCTTATTCTTGCACTTCCCTGCAAACAAATCAGAACAGATGCTCAATAAATAAAGATCGGACATCGCCATAACCTTCTCAAGCAAATTAATGCTCAATAAACAGGTCGTAAGGAGCCCAGTGTAGTTTCTTTTTTAAAAAAATCATTGCATGCATCCCCCACCCTCATCCCTTGCTCCAGAATACTGTACATTTTTATTTATTCAAGCAGATTAATTCTCTTCCCACCTTCTTTCTTTTTTTATATAAAAAAATCCTGACACCTCCAGCATTTGGTGGTTGTTGTTTTTAAGCTGACACCTTCATTCTGTAGGTCCTGGAAATCAGTGACCACAGATCTTTTGTCAGGTTATTTTTTTAAAATGCATACAAATATACTTCTGCATACCTTGGAAATATATTGAAGATGTAGAAACTACTACCGTATTATTTGGTGGCTCTGTTCCTCCTCTAAACTTAGAGGCATCAAGCCACCCAAGAAAGTTTATGCTATAGTAAAATAATGTTAAGTCTTCAAGGCGCCGTGAGATTCTTTAATATGATTTGGTTGAGCTCAAACCCAGGAACACACAATTTTAGGAATTAGTTTCCAGTTCTCAGATGTTCAGAAACAGAAAATCTGTTAAAACTTATTTTTGCACCATTTAAAGGACAGTCAGCTTACGGCAGTACTACAGTTGTTCTAGGGTTTTTTCTGTGTTTTTTTAAAAAAAGGTATGTGAAGCAGTAGCTTTTAAAATTGTTGACAAGGATTGCATTGAGAACACTGATCACAACTCACACAAGCACTGAATGAAGCGTTAGTTGTTTCTCATTTTAATTTTTATTTCCAGTTTCAAATTTTCTACAAGAAAAACAATAAAAAAATAGAAAACTCTAGAAGTTGTCAAGCTCCCTGACATGCCAGTTCACTACAGAAACAGGGCTCTGTTCCTGGGTCACTACAGAGATAACATACTGGCACTGGGTTTGCTTGCTTGCTACGCACACAAGAGACTGTAGCACCTGGTTGCTATGGAGACCAGGCCCCAACACAGGTGCTTGAAGTCCCCTTAGGCCAAGAGTGGCTGGTGCGGCCTGCCCTGCCTCTGTGGCACTCGACAGGGTAAACAGGCTAATGGAGACAGGGCTCCGGTGTTATTAAAGGGGGGATTTTGAAAGGGCCAGCTTCTCCCGCCATAGCAGCAGCACCACGGAGAGGGAAAGCTGTGCCCGCAGAAATGCCCCTCTTTTTACAAAAACGGTATACACCACAGGTGTCTTGTTCCCTACGGGGCCTATCAACCCTATGTTTGTGCCAACAATGAGGTCCTGAAAGGGCCAAATTTCTCAGACAGTGGCACTGATAGGAAGCAGCATCAAGCCCAGAACTGAGGCGAGAACAAGGCATTGGAATCCAATGGACTCCAGCCACCTCACCCCAAAACCCTGTTTGACTAAAAAAGACTTTTAACAGCATCGCTGCCCCTTAACCAATTCCACACCCCAGCCGTTATCACAGCTTCTCCCTTCTACATCCCAAGGTTGACACTTTTCCTGACAGGTCTTCTGTACCGTTAACAGTTCCATGACAGAGAAGATCTACACCTCTTGAATTTCCGCCTGCCTCGCTGCTGTTAAAGACACAGAAACCTGTTTCCAAAAAGACAACCCTACTACCTTCTATTTTGACGCCTCTCAACAGATAGGTGCATGACCCTGTCATTTGTGGAGTGGCATCTTACTAGCTGCCTCTTCTGGTCTCTGCACGTCTATACTACAAATGTAAACAGGTCTGAAATTGGTTCAACTGTCTTGTGAAGCTGCCTTTTATTGCGCAGGACTATTTATTGATCCATCGAGCCCCATGTTTTCTGCTTTAATTGGCTGTGTCCATTCAAGGTCTCTGGCAGTGGCCTTTCCGAGCCTTGCCTCTTCTGGCTAGAGATACGAGGGACTGAACCTGGGACCTTAATGCATGCAAAGCATGGGCTCTACCACTAAGCTAGGGGCTATCCAAGACCCTCCCCGTGAACTCTGGGAAGCGTAGATTCGTAGGGTGCTTGAGAATTCTTTATTAGAGATTGCTGCTTCATAGAAAGGAGCTACAGTTCCCAGGGTCCCTTGCTTGAGAGCCGCCATGACAGTTAAACAGTCTCGAAACTGGTTTATATATGCAGAGTAGACGTACTCAGGCCTGCACTGGCTCCAGCTGCAATTCCATGAGGCCTTGGCCTGTCTTAGATGTCTCCTGGTGTGGGCCCTTTTGGACCTTGGGGGCAGGCAATTCCTCCTCTGCTCTTGGCTCTTCAGAGTCTTGCGACAGGTTCTCCCAATCTTGGTTAGCTGGTGCGGCTCCAGGAGAGAGGCTGGCAACTATTGCTCGATCGGGCGTCCTCTTCCCGCGGGGCAACTCAGGCCGGGGAAGCTCTCCCTGGTCTTCCGAATGCCAGAGGTTCTGAGGTTTGGTCATCTCCCCTTTTGGACTTAGAGACTCGGGTGCTTTCAGCTGGGGGCTCTGGGGTTCGGGCAGCTCCTCCTCCGCCACCCCCCGGGGTTTAGGGGCAGTGTGAGAGCAGCGGCGGGTTCGGGCTTTCCGGCTGTGGTGGACTTGGAGATGTAACTCCATGAGCTCCGGAGCCGAGGTGGCGAAGGGGCAGAACTGGCAGCGGTGGAGGGCTCCTCCCGCCAAAGCCGGGCGCAGCGACAGGTCCAGGGGCTGGAAGTCGGTCTT